GTATGATGAGTTAAGAGCTTTAATAGCTCGTGATCTTCTTTAATAGCTCGTGATTCTTCAAGTGACCGGGAAGAGACCAGTCCCTTAACCGAAAAGCCCGATAGAAAGTCCGTCCTCATCTTGGTGCATGGGCTTTCAGCGCCTCATACCTACCTGCTGAGATTGACCTTCGGTAGGTATGGATCCTCGGGGCGAAGAGGCTTGAACGGTACTATTGAAGTTACCTTACCTTTCTTTCCCACCGATACAATTGAAAAAGCTATTAAAAATCCCACGAAAAGAATCGCATCTGATGTCTGACACCTGCAAAATCTCTTTATCTCCTTTCTATCTAGCTGTGAAAGCTAACTCTAAACCTATGCCCGTGCAGCCAGCATATTGTCTATAGCACGCACACGAGCGATAAGGAAGGGCGGAATAGAAGCGAACTCATAAACATAGCCATTCTCGACACCTTTGATGTCTATCCCACTTGCTTGAACTGCTTTTTACCTCTTCGATTAAGCTTAGGAATTATCAGCCTTAGGAGAAGGGGCGAAGAAGTGAGCCGTAAGGCGAAGGGTCTTTAGAGGTGAGCTGCGTAGCAGCGAATGGGGTTTATCGGTGAGCCGATAGGCGAAGGGGCAGCCTTTGAATCGGTTTAACTATCTGCTTTCCTTGGATGAGGTTGAGGTAGAAAAGGATACCATACCACAATTGCTTCGGGCTCTGGTATAAGCCCAAGAATGGTTGATTTTAGGGAAGGGCTTATGACAGGCTTGGCTGTCTGAGAAAAGAGAGATCAATACCCGGGAAAACGAACTTCTTGTCTAATTTGGTTCCAGCTCTCAACCGGGAGTTAGTTGATTGGTGACCTTTTTTCGTGGTCTCCGGCCCTAGGCCTTAGGTGTGCTCATTCAGGTAAAGTAAGATAATGGAAATGTATTGGACTGCAAATCCTGGAATGACGGTTCGAACCCGTCCTTTTCCTCACTGCTGAACAATATACGCAACTGCTTAACCTGTTGAATGGTAAAACTTCAATTTCTTCTGTTAATTTAGCTGGTGAGTCCACTCATTCTTCTTGGATAGTTGATAGTGGTGCAACTGATCATATGACGCCTTTTTTGCAGTTCTAAATGAGATATTTTATACCCCATTACATCAACCTGTTCCCAAACGGTGCTTCCTTACAAGTCAGTCATGTTGTAAAGGCAATTCTTTCTCATGACATTATATTTCAAGATGTTCTTTGT